GTCCGCAACCCACAGTGTGTCATGTCTATCTCCAGCATTCAAGTTACTCCTACAGTTACGAGCGCCGATCGGCGAACGATTCTTTATGCTTATCCATAATCATAATCGAAATGCCATCTTACAACTTTCTATTGCTGAGTTTAAAAACTTTTGCAAATGAAGCAAGGTCTCACTGATATCATTTTTTGCATAAGCAAAGAAGCAAGAAACAATTGGTAAGTACCTGTATTTGGAGGCACAACTAAATCGATCATATTCTTTTTCGCTTTGAGAGGCCATATTTTGCGCAGTGTCTGACGTAATTCTTCATCCGCTTCATCCATTTCTTCCACTGCAAAACAAATTTAGATGCTTACCACAATCTCGAAATGCATGTATTTGCATAAGGTGAGTAAAAACTTTTTGAGTGATCAATAAATAATCCGAATTCTCAAAGCTGTCAAAAATGGTTATTCCTACTAGTCACGAAGTAGTTCTTACGTATCCTCTGTTTTGCTTCTGTAACATTAGCTTAACGTTGCTACGGTATTGACGTTTCAGTGTATGGATGAACGAAATAGTTCTTTATTTCTCGGCTATGTGTTTGTGTGGAAAAATCCCTCTCGAATTTTGGCTTGGATTTGTTTTAGCTCTACAGATTTTACTTTGATTTAATGGGAAGTCCCAGAGAAGATTCTTAAACGTCTATCTGAAAACAGTGGTTAAAATCAAAAGTGGTTAAAACCAAAAGAAACAGCGGAGCTGTCAGCAGCATAAATAACGTGAAGAAAGGAATGTGATATTGAAAAGTCTGCTCAAAATATCAGAGCAATGAAAATCTGTGATAAAAACTTTAAGATATCAAAAGCTACGAAAGACTTCGCAATAAAACTGTAATGCAAAAATTTAAATACCTCGAAATTTGCGATAAAAATACATTTCACAGTGGAGTGAGAGTCAAAAAATATGAAACAGTGGAGTGAGGGCTTTCGTCACGTGGCTGATATGAGTACACAAAATGGTACCAGGTCTCATCTTGATGCTGAGCGACTCTCGTATCAATGCGAACAGAGTTGTGGTGAAATGTACAGTACCATCTTCAGCTACTGGCATATTCATTCGAATCAGGTGTTTATAGGCCAGCCGATAAGGGCATTTTCGACCGAATCCAACAGGCGGTGCAATATTGCGTAGCATCTCATACATATCTGTGTAGTGGATGCGACCCCTAAACAGAGCCTTTCGGTGCTCTCAGTTTTTTATCCAAAATAGAAAATCATTAAGAAATTAATTAATTGTATCAAGAAAGCAGGTATCCAAGCAATTTCCAAGAAAGAGTAACTTTACGTGCTGGAGCAGCTAAAAACAGGTGTCTCAAAGCAGAGGATCAAACACAATTGAATTTGTCACCAATATACTCCCCAGTAACGCTAACAGCTCGAGGCCACTAACCGCTGTAGTGAATTCTTTTCAAGAAAAATTTACGGGACAACGGAATAATGAAAGAAAGGAAGATTTTTTTCACCTCCTTCTTACTAAGAGAATATCAAGACTGCTTGAACAATCGATGTGAGAAGAAAAAAAAAAGAATTTCATAGTAATGTTGTTGGGACACTTCCCCCTTCCTTTCCTCTATCAGTCCTGAGCTACAATCTCAGTTGGCACCCAATTTCAGTTTAATGTAGACGTGCTATTTTTTGGATATTCCCAACCGGATATTTACTTCTTCGGAGATGTCGTTCCACCGGCTGTTTCCTCATGAAGCATTAAATTATAAAGCACTGTTATTGACTAACGTGGCAGCTGGATCGTAATCGGCCCAGACACGAACGAACTCATCCAGGTGGTGTGGTCCCAGTATTGAGCTATCTCGTGTCAAGTAATCAAAA